GAGGCTGCGGTGACCGGGAGTGGCCACTGCACTCCAGTCTGGGTGACAGAGTGAGACTCTGACTCAAAAAAAAACCCCAAAAAACAAAAAACAAAATAGGGCCGGAGATGGTGGTTCACCTGTAATCTGAGCTTGAGCCCAGAAGTCTGAGACCAGCCTGGGCAACACAGTAAGACCCTGTCCCTACTGTATTATACTACTATACACATACACACATATATGAAGACCGGTAAATGAAAATGAGAGCCAACCAGTCTCAAGCACTTGCATCAGATACACTTGAGGGTGAGAGACATGGAGTTCTAAGCAACGTGCTGAGGATTTTCACACTGTTTCTTGTCATGTGTGTTTCCCGGTAGAGTGTTGCAAATATCTATCAATGTTTTATGTGGTAAATCACCGTAGAAAGAAGGTTTGAGAACCAACACTACCATTAACTCAAAAGACTGTTGCTGGGCACAGTCTTTGGGAGGCGGAGGCAAGAGCACTACCTGAGCCCACAGGTCCAAGACCAGCCTGTGCAACATAGCAAGACCCCGTCTCTACAATAAATCAAAACATTAGCTGGCTGTGGTGGTCCATGCCTGTAGTTCCAGCTCCTTGGAAGGCGGAGACAGAAGAATCACCTGAGCCCACCAGGTCGAGGGTGTGGTGGCTGTGAGCCTGCTGTTGCACTCCAGCCTGGGCAACAGAGTGAGACTCCAACAACAACAAAAAGACTGTGTCCCTTTCTTTCCAGGAGCTGACAGCCAGACAGAGAAAATGACAAGTAGACAAAGGCTGTCGACCAGGAGTTAACATGTGTGTCACGCCGCATCTACTTCCCATGCTGGGGGAAGACTGGGGACTCCAGAATCCTGAGACCAGGGTACGACCAGAAGATGGACCCGGGTGTCAGCACCCCGGAAGCAGACAGACGCCTTGAGAGCTCAAGGAAAGCAGGGCCGAGGGGGGGCGTGGAAAGCGCCAGTGTCTGGATGACACGAAAGGGCCCGGCCCGTTTTAGGAAGGTTGACGGCACGTCCAAGGCGGACCTTGGGAAAGGCCGGTTCGGAGGCCCCGGGAGCGCCCAGGAGAAAAGCCGGAGCAGCAGGCGGCGGCGGGTCCGGGCTCAGCGGCCTCGGTGGCGGGCGGGCGGGGTGCGGCCACGGCCCAGACGCGCAGGGACGCC